CTGAGATGGCAAAAGCAGTCGGTAAAGTTCAAGTAGAAGCCATAATAGAGCAACTGAGCAAAAAGAAAGCTGTTTGGAAAAAAGTGTGCGAAAAGGACAGAGCACAGATCGAGCACATAGGAAGCTCCACTCTGAAGTTATTGCTGGATATGGCCTAGAGCAAAACTGGGAGGCAGCGCAAGCCCAAGGAAGAAACCTAGTGACTCCCTAGCGGATGCTGTTTAAGGAAAAACTAACTGAGCCATAATAACAAATCATTATCATTGGTATTATTATTTTTCTGTTGTTCATGCAAACGAAGGCTCAGCTCCGAGAGCATGGCAATCCATATTCCACTTATAGTTTTCTAATTTATATACAACTTATACGCAACTTATACGCCCACATTCACCTACAGACCTCTCTGAGTTGAAGTTCGCATAAATGTAGGCAATGTAAAATAGAATTGAACTCTGATAGAGATTGAATAAAACTCAATTGATGTTGAATATGAATTTTATTAATTCATTATGTGTTAAAATATGGAGAAAAAAGCGTATAATAAAAAAAAAAAAAAAAATTAAAAAAAAGGGTTTCTTATTATTTCATTTCGAAATAAAGGAGAAGATAAAAATATAAATATTTTGATTGGGAATGACTATAAGAAATATCTAGAGCTATGAATGAATGTAGATGCACTCCATAACTGTCCATTGTGAATCAATGTGTTGCATTGTGAATTGTTAGGGTATCCGCAGTGCGTTCAGTTGGTCGCAATTTGGTTGCCTTCACATTTCTAAGAAGCAAAAATTTACGAGCAATTGCGGTACTCGTAAAAATGATTTGCATACGAATGTGTGTGTGTGTACTTGTATATCTGCTAGATATATACCCGATATATAAATAAATAGCGCGCCGTACAAGTCTTTCTTAGTCAGCTGGAATATGGCATTCAGCTCCGGGCATATCATAATTATATTTCAATTCTAATCTATTGTGAATATCTCTCACTCTTATACACACTATATGCATATACATACATAGGTGCATATGTATGTATTTGTGTGTTTTTGTCTATTGTGATCGTTATGCAATGCTGCGGATTTGACACGTGTCACACGTGACGCCGACGCCGACACCGACGCAGCTGTCGACACACTCGATCTACATACATACATATATGCATATGTATAGCCATTTGATATAGCTTGAACGATAATTGCAGCGAGCATTACTTAACTGTATTTACACCCTTCGCTCCCCGCTCCAGGCATCATCCACCAACTACGTCACGTGCTGCTTGAACCGTGTTCACTCCGGCGTACACTGGACCCCGGTGCGGCTTCTGGCAGATTTGTGCAGATTCTGTGCACTCTAATTGGCAGAGAACGTTCACAAATTGAATCCCGCCAACAGTCTTATAAATAAATTAACAATTAACACCAAACGCTACTTATAGTGGAAAAGTATGCGCATATACATATGTATGTACATATGTATGTATGTGTGTATACATATATGTATATGGGGAAGAAATGTTGCAGTAAACAACATGACAAATTTATAACTAACTAATTTGAAGGCATTATTAGACGCCCATGAGACTGCAGCAGATTCTGTTTGGATAGTGACTGTGCTTTATATTACATAGATATGTAAGTTGTAGCTCTCTATAAGCGACTATTAGCAGAGCTCAAAAGACGTCAGCAGAAGGCCATAAAATGACTATTGGATAGCTGCACAAGATTATCTTCTTAGAAGAGTACAACAGCAGTAAATGAGTGTGCCAGCTGTAAGAGTATTAAAATGTATAAGCCTTGGAATCAAATAAGAATCAAGTGCACAACAGACTGAGTCATGCGTGTTTATAAGAGCCGAAATATGTATATTCCTGCAGCTTTGTATAAGACTGAATTTATAACATAATAAACCATGTTATCCGAATCGTATACGAATAAAGTGCGTTTTTAACAGTTTGTATAAGTTGACTTAGAACAAAACTGTTATTATATAACATAGATGCGTATGTTATCTTTATGATTCTGTTACAAGCAATTTGAAGAACTACGCCTAATACCATAGGAACAGCACGGATATTAGGCTGTAACAAAACTGACTAAGACTGCAGAGAATCACTATCTGATGAGAATCTAGTGAGATTACTACCCAGATATACATATGTATATGATTTAAGACTTATTTGTTTGCAATAATGCATATGTATAAGACAAGCATTAATAAGCGTAATTATATAATAAGCTTAACATAACTGGTATTCACATAAGTTATAACAATTTGGGTTGCAAAAGAAAAAGTGGAAACAAATTAAGATTAATAATAATGTCATATTTCTATACAAATCAGATAATACTTACTAAATTGTACAAGACATGGATATTGTTCAAATTAAAAGTTACAGAAATGTAGGCCAGAAAATGCAAAAGTAAAGTGAAAACAAATCAATAATAATGGCATATGTCTAGAAAATTCTATAATGCACTATATACATACATATGTATGTATATATAATATTTATAGCCAGCATATTTATAATTTGTAGAAGACGTATGGAAATGTGCCCAGTGTCACGTAAACGAAAGCAAATTATCAAAATGAAAAGTGTTTTTGTGGCTAAAATTAATTCTAAAGGGCACGAAATGAGACGAATGCGACGCAGAAATTTGTATAAGATGCAATCGAAAGAGCTGAGCGCAAATGAGAGTGATGAGTATAACATAAGTTTACAGTATACTGAACGGAACCGAAAAAGCATGGGCAAAACAAAAGGGAAATAGAAATAATGAACAGTACAGTATATATATATATGTGTGTGTGTGTGTGCGTGTAAGTAGCAGCCAACGAATATAAGAGTGACATTTCAGAGGCAATTAACGAAACCCAAATAAGTTGCCAAACGGCAAAAAGACAATACGAAGCAGATTCATAGATGAGATATAGATAAACGGCAATAGATATCTGCTCACAAACACACACACATATGCATATGTATGTCTGTCTGTCTGTGTATGTGTGCATTTGTATAATCTCGTGACGTTTGCCGATGACGACGGCAATGGCAAAAGATGACGAAAAACGAGGCGATTTTCGGCGGCGACGTCGTTTCATTTAGGCAAACAAATAAATAAATAATTAATAAATTTCAGACTGATACGATAAAATGGCTACTTTTTTGTCTCGCTACAATTGCTGTTGTTGTTGTTGTTGTTGTTGCCTGGGTATATGTATGCTGCGGCTTGTTTGGCGATTGCTACTGCGCAGCTACTGCGCGGCCACTGCGCAGCTGCCGCTTTTGTTTTCTCGTTTCGTTTGCCTTTCGGACAGCATTCAACAATTGACGCAGGCTCTGACAGTGACACACAAAACGGGATGCCAGCGCATTAAACAGTAGCAACAATGAGAGTGTGAGAGAGAGAGAGCGGCAGAATGTGACTGTGTGTGTGTGTGTGTGTGTGCGTGAGTGGCAGCATGAAAGAGCAAAGGGAGGAGCAATTTATCAATCACAGCATGCAAATTGTTTCTCATTAACGGCAATTATTAGCAATTATTGCATTATAAGAGATGCTAATGGACAGCCGAGACGGTGCGACGCTGCGACGGCGACCGCGACAGCGACCCAGACCCAGACCCAGACCTAGACGAAGATCGAGAGCATCGAACAAGGAGCACACTCTCACGCACACACTTGCCGAAGTAGGCGTGGCTGAGCGGCGCTCAGCATCAATTTCTAATGAAAGTTGAAAAGCGCCGCTTGTGCGATTGGCTGAATGGCTGCAGCAGCCCCTCGCTGTCCGTCCGTTAGTCCGTCCACTCGCAACTCGCAATCCACAGCGGCGAGCGCTAAGGGAGCCACAGTCAAGACAGGCACGAAGCGCCAGCAGCCAGCAGCCAGCAGCCAGCAGCCAACAGCATCGAGCAAGTTTGAAGCGAGTTCGAAGCCGCAGGCAACGATGCTGCGCAGTCAGCGCCAGCGGCAGCAGCGACGCAGCGCGCTCACCCGCGCACAGACGACGCGACGCACGAATAGAGCCGAAATAAAAAGCTTGCGATTGCTATGAAGCTGCAGCTTCGCTTTATTTGCGCTCTCCCACTCATGACGCGCTCCCTCTTTCTCTCTCTCTCTCTCGCTCTCTCAAACAGCTGCTGACGCCGACGTCGACGCCGACGTTGACGTTGACGGCATGTAAACAGGATCTGAGCGTATATTACGTAGCGACTGGCTTTAAGCCAACATCATTCCCAAGCCGAACGCCAACAACAGCTGCCGTAGCTCCACAACACACGCTCCACGCTCCACGCTCCACGCTTCAAACACAACAAGCTCCACACACGAATAGTGAACGACGATCTGCGATAACGAGCAGCTGTTATACTTAATTTTTTTTTTCTCGGGCCCGTTGTCAGTGTCAGTTATCTGGCCGCATCTCTGCCAAAACGCAAATATCCAAAGCAGCAGCAGCAGCAGCAGCAGCAGCAGCGGCAGCAGCAACGGCTCTCCTCAGCCCCAACACCCTCGCAGGGCAGCGACAAGTGCAAAAGTGAAGTGAACTCCACCATACCGATAAGCATCGCTTCATCGGCTTCACTCTCTCGTGTCTCGCTCGTGTCGCGCTCGGCTCGCCATCGTGTCGCTCTGCGCCCGACGCTCGGCTTGCGCGCCGCTTCAAGTCCCATTGTAAATTACTTGCAAAGTAAAATTTAGTCTCGGCTTTTAATACCGTTTTAGTGCGTTTTCGAGTTGGTCGTGTTTTTTGTTACCAAAAAGCAAAATACAAAATAAAATACAAATTTACAAAAATCGTAATCAACAAGCAACTAGAAACATAATTTAAAGGCTTGATTCTGTGTCTGTGATATATCCAAAAAAAATTTAAATACAAAATAATTTCAACTAGATTATCACGTAAAACCAAAATTTTTTTTTGTTCGGTTTTCTTCAGTTTTTACACAAAAACTTTTGAACAATTTGAAAACAACTAAAAAAAAAAGAGAAAATTGCGCACGTCCTGCGCGCAATTGGCACAAATAATATTTTCGGTTTTATTTTTTTTGCAATTTAACTTTTGGAAAAATTGAACGGAGATGTAAACTATTCGCCCCCGCCAACCGAGCAGCGCTTCCTATAAATTAAGAACAATTTTCTCCGTTTCGTACGCCGCAAAATAAAATCAAATCAAAATCGAAGAGCAGCAAAGATTGCGTAACACTTTGGCTGCAAGTACCATAATTAACTCTTATACAAAGGCAAAACGATCCACTAAAACAAAAAAAAAACACCATAAATATCCCAAAAACAAATTCGAGACGGAAGTGTAGCTGTTTTTTTTTTTTCTGCGCACAGCGGCGCATCCTGTTTGAGCTTTTCGCGCACTTACACACACACACACACTCGCACACAGAGACAGCGGAGACACTGGCTGGCGCTCTCGCATACGTATAAGAGCTGTGCAAACGGTAAGTTGTTGACTACTGTAAATGTAATTTTACATTGAATTTCAGCCTTAGCATAAATAGCAGACAGAACTGTGCAGCATGCTAACAGCGGTATAAGAGTATAAGAGCGTGCCCTGTTGCGGCCAGCCGCCAGCTAACATGGCTCAAAATCGAGTGCGAAACTGCTGGCGGTATAAGAGCCGCTGGGCAGGGCGAAAGGGGAACAGTCGGCCGCAGCGCACAAATAAACAAAAACAAACAAATATTGCATAGTGTGTTTCAGCAGCAGAAACCATAAATAAGTGAAGGTGGCGGTGGAAGTGGAAGTGAAAATAGATGTGGAAGTCGAAGTATATGATCAAACCGTTCTAATGACAGCCAACCACCCCGCCTGCAAGGGCAAGCGCCGATGGGGAAGGGCGGGCCGAGGCGTGTATGTATGCATGTGTGTGTGTGTGTGAGTGCAGTGCAAGTCATAAACAAAACAATAAACCATTAAGTACGACAAAAAATAATACAGATATATATATATATATATTTGTGTATGTCTCTGTATATATGTATATATATAAAATATAAAGTTGTAAAAAAATGGCATTGCCTAAGCGCATGCAAATTTAAATGCCCAAAACTAAAGAGTGTATGAAAAAGGGTAGATATATAAACATATATATGTATATATATCTAGTATATATATATATATATAATTAGGGCAGGCTGTCAATCAAGCGAGAGGCGTTTAATTGACAGCTGGGCCTAGACACAAAGACGCCGCATTTGGCAATCGTCAAGTCCCAAGCGCCCAGCCAAACAATGCTAATAATAATAATAATAGTAATATTAAGAAGAATATTCATTATAATAATAATAGCCAGCCTAATAGTAATAATAATAGCGATTCGCTGTTTGCCATTCACGCATCTATAGCCCATTGCCCAAATGCGGCCAAGTGACGCGCGAATGGAGCTGCGAATTCGAATGCGAATTCGGATACGAATACGAATGCGAATGCGAATGCGAATCTGAATCCCAATGCGAGCGGGCGGAGTATCTTATGGATATGTCCGCCGTCTGATGATCGTTGGCATGCGCGACTGCATGAGCTGTCGCTTGGTTATTTAAGCGCTCGACGCACATGCGCAGTTTATCAATGCCCGAGCTTAGGCCAGATGTAGCCACACACACACACACACAATCAGAGCCCAACTCCAAAACAAAAAACAAAAAATATCATATAAATATACAAAAAAAACACACAAAAAATCAGCATAGAAAACTTTCACTGCTTACGACGTTCCAGTTTTAATTTCAGTTTCAGTTTTAGTTTTTTTTTTTCAGTTTCCGTTTGAATTTGAGTTTCAGTTTTCGATTAGTCCAAAGATGCGCTTTATGCCACACAAAACTTCAGAGTCTAGTGGACAATGGTATACCCTATACATTAGGAAGTGAGTGGAAGAATTACATATATTGAGTTAGAAGAGATCTAAAGATATAGCCTCTGTTAGCTCGTCCATCAAATCTTATATCCGAGACATTTATTAGTATATCCTGAGCTCATTGACAGTACGAATTCAGTTTGAAGAGCTCAAAATAGAAGGAAGTAAGACTGGAGACTGCACTAAAAATATATATAGATCAACAAAAAAACTTGCTCTGTCCAATCTTTCCATCCCCTCTATCTATAGCACCTGTAGAGCTTGTAAAAACTGAAGATCTATACTTCGTGTGGAATCTTTTAATCAAAGTTGATTTAGAAAGTTATTGAAGTAGAGCTATTTGATTACATTTCTTAAAAATTTCAAGCTAGATTATTCAAGTTTTCTAATTTCATATGGATTTTCTACAATTTTTCACTTTGGGTCGAGGTATCTTCGAGCTGAGCACACCCGACTAGAATTTTTGCATATCCTGCTGCACTCAATCATTTCTCCAAGTCCCATCTAAGCTCCCCCCCTTAAGCTGCGGCTAAGCATTTAATCTTTTGTGCGTTTTAAGTTTGTGAAGTTTCGAGCGGATTTCCGCCGATGTAAATTGTTCACTTCCAAGACAATTTACATAAATACTCGGGCGATAACAAATCACCTAAACAAAAAGCAAAGGCAAAGCAAAAAAAAAAAAAAAAAGTACAAAGTTCTAATTAAATGTTAGTTACAACTGCAGCAACAGAAACAACAACAAAAACATTGGAGGGAAAAAAAACTAATTTGCATTTTTTGGAGAGCGTCTAAAAGGTGAGAAAATTATTTCTACGTCGATTGCGATTGCAAATGCCGACTGTTCGAGTCAAGTGCCTACTTGAGTGGAAAATCAATGCACTTCCGCAAAATGGTCAAACACACACGCACACACACACGCGCACAGACAGAGAGATACTTGCTGACAGTTTGAGATACTCACACGAAGATACAAACAGCGGCGGGGCAAACAAAACTATTTGACGAGCGCGCAAACTTTTTAATTATTTATAGCAGCTGCGACGCGAACGGCGACGCCGGCAGCGATGCGACGCAACGCGTCGAGAATAACATTCGCACTGCGCACTGCATTAAATAAGTTAATAATTTGCCAACTGCAAACAGTTATGCAACAGTAGATAGGGAAAGATATGAATCTATATATCCTATCTAAAATTTAATATTAATAATGTATATTATATTACTTGATATATATATTACTTTTCCGGCTAATAAGAAATATCGTCCACAGATACTTCAATCTAGCGAATCGATTGCCCAAACAGCTTCGAATTTTTAAATTCTAAAAACAAATAAATAATTTTAGTTATTTTACAATTGTAAATAAATCAAATCTTTCTTATTTAGCCATTTATTTTTTATTTCATTCAAATGTCAGGCAAATAGGGGATAAATCACTTCAAGCTGACTGTGTTGTATAACAGCTGTAAAAAAAAAACAAAGCTAATCTTCATGATTTGCCCATTGAAAGGAGTTTGACTAGCACCGTAAACACTTAATTTAAATTTAATAGCAGTGTTGTATAACAGTTCAGTTGTTGATATAAAACACTATTCATCCGTTGCTAAAGAAGTTCTAAGTTCCATTTTCATTTAACAGTATAACAGTTGTATAACAGTTCAATAAGTGCCACTGCTAACGTCTCGTCAAGGAAAAGGAGTTTGCATAGCTGTGAAGCGGAGGGCGCAGTTAATATAACAGTGGTATGCAGTAGCGATGTTGTATAACAGTTCAAATGGTACTTTTAGTGTTGTTTATATTAAAAAAATGTTGGGTTCTAGCTAAGTAAAATAAGTTGAATGAAAGCTGAGAGTTAATATAACAGTGCTACACAGTAGTAATGTTGTATAACAGTTACATAGGTGCTCTTAACTTTCAGAACTGTTGAAGTAAAACTCTGGAAACTGAAGCAATGTTTGTAACATTTCATTTTCAAGTGTTATACGGTAATTGTATTGTATAACAGTTCGATAAGTTGACGTTAAATCTCTGCTAACACTTGGATAAGAAAAATGATTTTGAATAGCTCCCTCTGGGAGTGAATTTCAATTCAATTCAGATCATTACTGTATAACAGTATAACACCTATCTTAATGCATCCCAAATATGCCACTTCAGGGTATCCTCTAGTTGGGCATTAAGGCATTAAGGAGGAATTTCAACTGTATAATCAGCGCTGTATGACAGTACGCTGTATAACAGTATCTTAATCAATCCCAAATATGCCAGTCCAGGGTATCTTCTAGTTCATCATTGAGGCTCAGCTGCTGTTTGGCACTCTTGACAAATTTGCAAACATTTCAGATTTTTCAATTAAATTTCTCGCCGTTTTTGTTTTCGTGTTTTAATTAAAGCACATACATATAACTAAATCAGCTTGATGCATATGCATATATGCATATATATATTTATTTATGTATGTTTGTATATATATACAGATATATATTTTAGCTGTTATAAATAAATGCATATAATTGAAATTCCTTTTGGTGCACTTATTTCTTTTTTTACATTGCTGCTTAATGCACACAAAAATAACTTTCGCCCTTTGTTGTTGTTGTTGTTGTTGTTGTTGTAATTGTTGTTTGCCTTTTGCCTTTTGCCACTTGGCTTTTGGCTTTTGTTGTTATTAATTTGCTGTGCACATTTTGCGCAATTTCTTGACAACGCGACTCCTTTGCCCTGTTTGTTGCTGATGACGTGTTGCTGTTGTTGTTGTGGCTGCTGTTGTTGTTGTTGATGATAATGATATTTTGCTGGGCTTGTTATCGCCGCAATCGTTTGCACAATGCTGACGAGCAGGGGCTGGCAGATTGACTTTATTACTCATACGCCGTGTGCGCCTGCGCCAGCATCAGCGTCGACGTTGGTACGGCAGGTGCCAAACAAGCGTACAAATATTTGGACATGCCCGATAATATAATTTGCAAATAATTTATGCGCTCTTGCAGACAGTCAGTCAGTCACTCAGGCAGTCAGACAGTCAGTCAGTCAGGCAGTCAATCAATCAAGAGACTACAACAACAGCCAAGCGGAGTTCTTGTGTATCTCTTGAGCCGCTGGCATGTTATCACCTAATTAGAAGTCGCATGTTGCCAATTGATATGCCTAGGAAATCGAGCGAAACGATCGAGCCCTAACAATAGCGCCGTCGTGCATATCTTTGACACGAAAAGAAACAAAAATCACCGAAATAGCAGAAATAGCAGAAAAAGCAGAAAAAGCAAACAAGAAATCGAATGAAATCAATGAAATCTTATTATGCCTGACAGACAGACACTTCATTTGCATGTCAAACATGAAGCGATTCGCGGCAGAACTAACAAAGAAAATCACAATAACAGTTTAATCTAAATAAAGGAAATTCATATCAACATGTCTATGCGGAGCTGCTATAGACCCTCATATAGTCTCATGTAGAGCATCGAAGGTTTTAGCCTTAAGTTGCGGCACTTCAGCATTTCAACTGGGCCCACTTCAGCCTGTCCAAATTACTTAAGCTTATCAGCCTAACGGGAACAAGTGTGGCGGAATATAGCCAAAAGC